GAATAATATTATTGTGATAAAGGAAAGGAAATAAACAATGTTATAATGACTAATAATAATAATAATAATAATATAATAATTATATTGGTGTTAACAAAAGTGTAAAAGCGTAAGTATTGTAGTCATTACGTCTCCACCAGACATAATTAAGATCACTATTTCTTTAACACTCCAATTCACAGGAATTTCTGATATTGGATTTCTGTGTATTAGTATTTCAGATGATACTATAGTCAACGCTATAAATGGTATCGCAAAGCAACATAAAAATATCGCTATTCCTATTTTCTCATCATCTTCATCATCATCACCACCATCATCACTATCATCACATTCAAAAATCCACCCCGCAAATGTAATAAAAGCGACAAATAGAATTAATAAGTTAAAACTTAAGGATACTAATGTGAAGACTCGCACCCATCCAGTTGGATTGAGTGAGATCGTTAACCAAAAAACCTTAACTTTATCCCCACAATCTTGTTCGGGTAATTTCCATTTAATAGTTGTCCATATCCATATACTATAACACGTTATCAACAAAGTAGCCAATGAGACTAGTAGTCCTAGTACTGAATAAATCCACTTTTTAGATATTGTGGATAGACTTATAAAAGCATAATATGCCGCAAGTATTAATAGTGATGCTAAATAAGTTACTTCTATTTGAAATATATAATGTAGGTTGTTATTGTGATATTGCATTATGGCTGATATTATTAAGACGAACGATGTTCCCACCGAGAATATCACAAATCTCACAATTTTTCTTTGGTTTGAAAATAATTTTAAAATTACTAATGAACTTTGTACGTATATTGATACTCTTATTTTTGGGCTTACTATATCAGCACCTGGTATTGAACACTCGGATGTCATAGTGATTTAAAATAATTCAGGCGAAAATACAAGTGAAATTGTTAAGTGAATCAACTGAAGATCAATAGTAAGTACCTTAGCGTGTCAAGAGGAGATATTTATATTATCAAAAACGCGTATGGTCTAAATCAGCCCATATCTAATGAGGTGAAATTCTTGACGAATAAGTAAATTTATTTTTGTTCACAAAAATTATCAGGCGATATTGTAATGTTCAAATAACATTTATCAGCTCATAATATTTATCAGTGTATCGTTATACATTTTCATTCATATATAATTATTATCAATCTAGTCTATGCACATTTTATTATATATTTAATTCATTTAATTTTCTTGAAGGAACCTTTATTTCCATTGAAAAGATGGTGCATCATTTCATTATGTAAAGATATATTGTCTTGATTTGTTTCATGTTTAGATATTTTTTTTTGAAGAAAAGAAACAAAAATTAGAATATAAAATATAAGATCAGAATTTCCCCCCAAAAGAATCATCTGGTATATAGCTTCATATTTCAAATATATAACATTAAAGATAGCCACAAGAATGCAAGAACTCACTGGTCCACTTGACTCACAAGAATGCAAGAAAGCACAAATTAGATTATAGATGTTATAATAGTATATATTTCATTTTTTTCAATTTCACGAGATCACGATCTTCCAAAGTAATTTTATCTTTATTGACCTTGAATAGATATAATTTGGTAAACAATCACAATGTACGATAAAGAAAATATTATGTTAAATAATTACCATTCACATTTAAAATTACTGTTGCATGTACAAAAGTGAACTTTGTTTTGTTTATACATAGTTTACCATAAATCATATTATTTATCATATTTATAGTATAATTTTAATCTGGAAATGGAAACCATTTAGTCCGGAGTTACACAATAAAAGCAAAAGCAAAAACAAAATTGGTTAAATTAGCAATGGTGAATACGAGTGACAATAAATAATCACGTGAAAATAAAAAAAGATATATTTATTTTATATATTGATATTGTTATCTTTTTATCGAAAAAAAAGTTGGGATAAACCATAAAAGATTAATTCAATCTCAAGATTATCAATAAAGATATAAATTATAGGATATAATTGCCTTATACCTCGAGCACCAGAAAATCTATTTAAAATGAATCATTCATATTATGATACATTACCATTAGAAGAATGTTCCGTTAGTACAGGTGCAATGGTTGATTTTTTACAAAAAGTTTATTTAAAAGATACTTCTTGCGCTGATAAAGGAATTATTTTTAATATATATTTGATTATTAATTCATTATCAATTTCATTAATTTATTATTTATATATAGTATATTATTTATTGATTTATTAATATTTATTATTAATTTATTTATTAACATTTATTATTTATTGATTTATTATTTATTGTAAAATTATTGCAGCAAAAACATTTTACAGCATTTGATGAAATGAATGGTGTAACACTACAAATACATTGGAAAAATCAAATCCATCATATTGAATATTCTTAAGTTATAATAATAATAATGATGATGATTATTCATTTTACATTTTTATACAGTAAGTATATAAAATATAATCATAACTTTGTGGGCTTTTATGAATATTAAATTTTAAGATGTTTGGCTTTTGATATGGTTTTTTTTTTTGGATCAAAGAAATCCACTTGGACCATAAATTTATTATATATTTGAAAAATTATCACAATATATTGTATATAATAAAAGTTATCTTTTATTTTTTTTTAATTTACAATAAATACAGTAAATAAAAAATAATCTGTATAGAGCAATGAAAAATGTCAAGTGTGATATAATTTTTTTATATTAATGCATACAAATACATACATATACTGTTAAAAATATGAGTAATTTAGTGTAGTTTTCTTGAACCTTTAATTTTTTTAGGTATCAAATATATTAAAGATATTGTCAAAATTACCATAAAAGCTATACTACAAGCATATATTTAGTAAATAAAACTCCAAGTAATCAACAGACAATGCAAAATAAGTGACTTCGGTAAGCCATAGTGTCTAATGAACTCAAGAGATTTGTAATTCTTAAGGCTTGGAACCACGTCTCAATAAGTTATCTGGATATCTGAATGACCTTAAAATCAGATATCCAGATAAATCCAGATGATTTCCTGAAATTTTTTTTCACCTGATTTCACCTGATTTCACCTGGTTTGGAGTATAAACCAGGTGAAATAGGTTTGATCGTCAAAATTTACAATCAAAAATAATTATTGATAGTTGTTATATATAAAATTTTTTAATATTTACTTATAGATTAAAAAGTTTTATATATAGCAACTATCAACAATTATAATTACATTATAACATTTATTTTTTTTAATATTTTCTTTTATTTATTATATATATTTATTATATTTATTAAAAAAATATTATATTAAATATTAAAAATTATTAAAATATTATTAATAAAGTTGAATAAATTTGAAATATTATTAATAAAGTTGAATAAAGTTGAATAAATTTGAAATATTATTAATAAAGTTGAATAAATTTAAAATATTATTAATAAAGTTGAATAAATTTGAAATTTCTTTTCATAAACATCATTTTACTAACTAATTTTGAATCAAGACTTGTTTTTTTGACAGTAATTTGATTTCCTGCATCAGAAAATAAACATTCACTAGGTACAGATGATACAGGAATTGATAAATATTTTCTGGCTAATATAATTAAGTTTGGAAATTGTATTTTTCGTTCAACTCGCCATTTAAATGGATTTATATTATAATTTGCAATAGGTATATGCATAAGATCTAAATAAAATTCTAATTCACTTGTTGGATTAACTATATTAAAAGTATTTATTTCAAATATTGAAATATATAAGTGGCCATGTTGAAAACCAAATGTTGTTGTATTAAAATTTGAAATTAAAGTTGTCTCTTGTATATTAATTAAATTTAATAATTGAGATTTTAATTTTTTTTTCACCTTTTTTTGAATATTATCATTCAATTTAGAAAGAGATTTTAGTCGTGAATCTAAAATTGTAGCAAAAAAACTAATCATTGATAGTTGATTCCAATAATAAAAAAGTGAATCATATATAGTTTTTTCATTAATTCTTTTAATTGAAGCAAATTTTCAGAAGTATCAAGATCACTATCTGAATTATTATTTTCATCACTATCACTATCATCATCTGATGATTCTTATATATAAAATTTGATATATCTATAAAATAATATTAAAGTTAATTAAAATAATAAATAAAATAAAATAAAATAATATAAAAATATAATTATATTGTTCATTATCATTTTCATCTCCATTATTATTATTTTCATCATCATTATTACCATTATTATTATTTTCATTTGATAATATATAAATATAATTATATTTAAGTGCTTGTATTACAGGAAATATTATTGATAATGTTGCATATGATGTTCTACTTAAATATGTAGTAGCATCATTAAAAGGTTCCAATAAATCTACAATTTGATTTAACAAATCCCATTCATAAGATTTCAATAATAAACTTTTAAGTTTGTAATCATCTGCATGATTATTTGAATTATCAGATAATAGTAAAGTTGTACCTAATCACTCAATAGCTTTACATAATTTAAAAAGTCGTTGCCATGAATAATATTTTGAGTTCTATCAAGTTTTAACATCTACTATATTTCGTAAAACAGGTTTATTATTATTATTATTGTTATTGTTCTCATCTTCATTTTCATTATTATTTTCAATATCACTATTATCATCACTACTATACTTGCACGCAAAATTATTTTGGAGCCCCGAAATTGCAATTTCGGAGAAAAAAGTTAAAATAGTTTTTCATAGAAGACGAAATTATTTTACTTAAAACCCGAAATTTTTTGACCACCCAGATTTATTCTTTGATTAAAGATACATATAATTAGGTACTTTTTTTACTTCCATATATAGAATAGATTTTGCATAAATCTCAAAAAGTCGAAATACCTCAAAAATCCAAAATCAATTTTGGGAACATGTATAATCACTACTATCATCAAAATTATCATTATTGTTTTGATATCTACATTCCTTTTGAGTCCTATCAAGATGTTCACTTTGTTTTGGTGATTTAGTAAAAAATTTAACTAATTGTTTAATACGCTTAATATAAGTATTTGATTTTTTAAAAGCATGATTAATAGAAAGTTACAATGTGTAAGTAGCACATGGTAAATGTTCAACTCCATCCCATAATTTAATTGCCTTAACCATATTGAAACTATTATCAGTTACAACACATGTAATTTTACCTTTCAAATTGAATTCTTTTATTTTTTCTTGTAAAAATGTTGAAATGTTTTCTCCAGAATGAGGGTATAGCATTCGTTCCATACACAAAAGACAATCATATACTTTAAAATCACTTGATAACCAATGAAGAGTAATACCAATATATTTATGTTAACTTCTTGCTGTTCAAAAATCAGTTGTTAAAGAAGCTGTCTCACAAGTATTGATAATTAGTTTTTATTAATTCATATACTGCATTCTGGTATCCTTCAATAATTATTTTTTTCATTCTTTTGTTTGATGGAATTTGAAAAGCTGGATCCACAATTGACATCATTTTTTTGTATTCCTGCTCTTGAAGAATATTAAGTGGTAAATTATCTACAACTATCCATTCAGCAATAGCTTGTCAAATTTCATTGTTTTTTGATTCTT